AATGTATTGTATACATTTGCATTTATAGTTGTGAAAAATTTTAGTTAAAAATTTTGCATCAGTTTCAAGAAATATAATAAATAAACCAATAATTAGTGTTTGTGGTTGATAATTTTATCATGTGCTTTGATAAACATTTACTAACCCAACACGTGCTTTATTGCATTTTTGTTAGTTTTATTGTTTTATCTTTAATTTTTTCTTTGCATTGTTATAGAACTGGACTCAAATTGTAAGTCTTTTGTTAGACAATTGGGTGATCTAGGAGACAAAATTGATGTATTTTTCGAATTGAGCTGCCATCCACAAGGATACTTTATTTATACTAAATGACATACTAAATTGAGCTGCAAAATTACATAAGGTATGATTTTTTTGGACGTAAATTTTAGATTGTAAAATTTCTCCTAATTTCTTTACAAGTTCGATTGTGTCCCCTAACTTTTAACTTTTGCGTCCGCCCCTATATGGAATAATGGTTTTGCCGTAGAGCGAAGTCTTTCTAAATGTACAAGCATGGAGACCTGTACGTGTGGTTGAGAAATATTTTTATTTTATTCATTTTCTTATCTACGTGCCCGTACACACGCTAAGATATTACTTCATTTTGCACCAAGTCCTCTTCAATGAAATAAATGTTCAGTGTACACGGGGAAGTTGAGCACCACAATTGTTTGAATATATGCCATGAGATATCATTTTATATTGGAATTGTTCTCATGTGCACGGTGGGTAGAATAAGACTACCCACCTACTGATGAGGCAGGAGAACCCAACGTCGGGTTCTCTCCAAATGTGAGAACTCAACGTTGGGTTCTCTTCGAATAGGTATAATAAGACTTCTCACCGTGGCCAGGAGAACAGATCTTTATGTTATATTCCCAAATGAAACATTTCCTGAAAGTAACTATTAGTGTATCAATAATGGAAGAATTTTTAAAGAATTATTATTTTTGACGCATCGAATTGTAATATATAAATGTGAAGAAGGAAAAACACTTAACCACAAAGCTCAATATTACAGCGTTAATTTTTATGCTGTAACAGTCTGATTTTTGACTTGATGGGCATTTAACAACACAAATTTTATTAAACTGATTATGGCCTTGCGATCTAGTAAGGAAGAATTTTGAAAACCAAATTTGAGGAAGTGAAATGAATTAGTT